GCATCAGAGAAAAAAATAGTAATTCAGAGATGCTCACTGGGCTTGCAATTACTTTGTAAAATGTGCACGCAAATGCACTGGAACAGGACCCTCAGTGTGATCGCTACTGGAAATGTTGGATCATGGTATGCATGTGGGACTGCCTGTTATCACTTTGCATCACCACCAGCCTCTTCTAAGGTTTTCTCTGCAACTCAGAGGAGGAACTGGAAATTGCATTTCTGAGACGTCCCTTGGTACGTGGTTCTATGTTAGAATGAGCCAAAGAGAGACACTTTGGAGTACGACTTGGAAATCCAGAGAGAAAGAGGAAATGCCTCGGTAGTTCTCTTGTTTGAAGCAGTGTCCACATGGCCGCTACAGATAGACAACATCAGTAGTAGATTCCCAGGTGTTCCTGAGATGTGCAGAAACTTCAGCCAGCTCTCGAGAATCACCAGCCTCCCTGCAAGACTGAGACTCTGGGTGGGGTCCTCCCTGACTAGACCAGCCTCTCTCTCATTCCTTACATTAAACCCCTTTATGATGTGATAATGGGCCTTCTATTTTCCCTATCTGAATTCAGACTGATGTCATAGTATCTACCTCTTTGGTTTTTCAAACTGTCTCTATTCTTGAATTTATAGATTTTTAATTTAAAAGAAGGGATGGAAGGAGAGTAACAGACAATTCTTTTGACGGAAGAGGCAAGGACGCTATACTTAACTACAGACTTAGCACAGGCTGTAGAAATTCACCCCTGGCAGTGGACATTTCCAGGCCATTTCTCTGCTTGCAATTTCTTCTTCCCTCTAGCACAATGCTACAGTCAGTCCTGCATTTGCTTCATGTCCTGTGTGAAGGACAAATGTCAGGGGTGGCCTGGGAATCAAGGACACAGAACTCGGACTTTTTCTTCCTTGCCTCTGTCACTGAGTGGCTCAGTGTCCCCCAGCAATTTTTGGTGCTTTCCTCTGTTAAATGGCAATAATAATATTTACCCTCCTTCCTTTATAGGGTTGTCTTGAGGATAATATGGTCAGCTCACTAAATAGAAATGTTTTCCCCAAAAGACACAGTGGCCTATATAAATGCAAATTCCATTTCTAACAGCTACCAGATAGAGTGGCAATACCTGATATGCAGGTATATGTCCATGCACATAACATATTTAAAAAAACATTTCTCCAACAAACACTCCAACACTCCTCCTAATGTGGATACCCACAACCCACAGAGAATATAGTAAGCAGACTGCCACTAGGTAATAACTGGGATTCCTGACACAGCCCCATGGCCCCTGTAGACTCCAAGGACATGTTTAGACCTAGAGAAGAATTCTCAGAGAGATTTCAGGTGCACCATTCTAAAACCACATCTATACCACAGCCTGCATCTTATGGCGCATCCAGGCCCTTCTTTGAGAGCTTCTGTTACTAGTAAAATAATTCCACTAGTTGCTTCAGTTCATCCTATTTCCTTCCTACCATCAAAACACCAGTTTGGACACTATGACATTAAAATTATTATCTATTTGGAAGTTATACAAAGTGGCTAAATGCTGTATGAAAATGAAATCAATACATATGGCCCCGACTGTGATGATTTGGGTTTGTGAAAGCAACAGAGTTGAGGTCTGAGGTCCACAAGGCTGGCCTTTCCTTCCCCTATCACCTACTCCCAAAGGAAGATGGGTCTCCTTTCTCAGACACAATGAAGTTATCTCACATATCTAAATTACTGACTTTCCCCTGGGTTTCTACCATTTGTCATTTGCTGAACAAATATTTATCGCACTCCTATTAAGCAGGAGGCCCTGTGCCAGGCATTGCAGGTATAGTAGTGAGCAAATAGATACAATCTCCTCCACTGCCTCCAACAGCTTATAGACTGTCCAGGAAAACACTGGAAAAAAAGCCTGAAAAATGAACACTGACCCAATATAAATGTGTGGGGTGAGATCAGAAAAGTCTTCCTTATAGCTGTGATAGTTAAGTTGATACCTGAGGGATGAGCAGCAGTCAGTGATGTGCAAGAGAAGAAAGATGAGAATCTGTACTCCCTTCAGGGAGCTTTCATTTATAAAGAGTTCAAGACCTACATATACTTAACCTCTTTCACACAAAGCAGAACATAAAAAATTGCACTAAGGAGATAGAAACAAATATTCTAAGTACCTCAGAAAGGGGAAAAATCAATATAGAAAAATATTCATACAAGAAGCAAAAAGTACTGTGGATTACTATCCCTACAATGCATGGATTAACTATAAATTACAGATGGAAAAATAGAGTCCCCCATCTCCTGATAATTATTCTGGGCCCAGATTTCCTTTACATTTGAATCGATAGTCCTTAGGACACGAATCTTGGGTCTATCATACTCGACATTGGAAGTAACATAAAAGGACAAGTAAAGGGAAAATGGCATGTATAGAAAAACAGCAATTTGCACATGAACTACTGCCCACCAGTTTATGTAGTTGTTGATGCGGAATGAAAAGAGATTGGGAACTGGATGAATCAAAAATTATTTGCAAATAGAACTTCCACTTCAGATTTTTTAGACCAAGTTTCAGACATCATGGAGGATTTCACTTGGGCAAGAACTGATGTAATTTGCCTTCGCAGTGTGAAAGAGCCTCTCTGGATAAACATTTGTAAGCAGTTTTCATAAAGGTATTAACAAATGATAACCAAGTAGTTTGGTGATTTATATGATCAAAATTTTATAATAATTTCTTTAACCTAAATATAAAAAAACAAGGTGGCATTGGGGCGCCTGGGTGGCTCAGTCAGTTGAGCATCCAACTCTTGGTTTCAACTCAGGTCATGATCTCCTGGATCGTAAGATGGAGCCTGCATTGGGTTCCTCACTCAGCAGTTGATTCTCTCCCTCTGCCCCTCTCCCCACTTATGTGCACTCTTTCTTTCTCTCTCTAAAATAAATAAATACGTCTTTTAAAAAAAGGTGGCATTAAGTGGTTTCATTCTGGGTGCCTAAAAATCGGGCTTTTACCACTTGTTATCGTAGATTCAGGCCAAGCTAAAATAGATCAGTGTCATCTCTTCCCTACATGGATCAGTCCTATAATAATTCAACCTTAATGAGATTCTTTGGCTCTCTCTTTAGTGATGTCCACATGACCACAGGCCCAAAGACCTACCTGCCATTTCATGATGCTGACTTGCCTTTTTTCACTACCAGGTACTTAGCATTGATCAAACAACCAGAGCATTAAATTTACAGGCACATTCCTCAGTAAAATTGAGATATCTGTTGCTGGGTCCTCTCAACAACAATGTTCCCATTGATGCTGGGCTCTGATGTCATTGAAGGGCACTTGTTTTAACTCTAAACACCTTGAGCATTTTTCCATATTCCCAATATTACTCAATATACCTTTAAAACTTGTATTCTTAAATTCCATTTCTTTAAGGTTCAGATTTCTTACTTTACCATTACAGTGACAAATGATCTTTGTCCTATTATGGAGGATTATCATTGATCTGATCATGTCCTTCTGTTGTGAAATCTCAATTTCATGGCTAGATCAACTTTTACAAGTAGGCTTAAGGGCTATGAGCTTTCAGTTCCTATGTAGAGTACTCAATGGGCTATGGACTAAAAATACCTTTATTCAAATATAAGAAACCAATAAATAAATCCATGAGGATATAATGCTAGAGTTAATTTGTTATTCTGTCTAGATATGCTATTATTATTTACCTAGGGGAACTCCCCTCCCCTCTCAAAAAAAAAGTCTCTAAAGGAATATGTTTGACACTTCCATAAGGACATTCAGTGAAGGAGATCTATACATGCCCCTCAAAATATGGCATGTTGGCAGCTATTTGTTCTACCTGCCTTTGAGCAAAGTTGATTTTCACAAAACTGACACTTAATGAACAGAATCATACTTGAACCAAAATATATGTAAATGGAGAAAAGTTCTACTGTTCCCAGACATCAAATAGGCAACACAGGTACCAGTCACAGATACCTGGAATCCTGCATTATAATCTTGATCATTTCCTGCAGAAGAAGAGAGGGCCATTTGCCCAGAGCCCACATGTCTTCTCAGAGTGCCAACTTCACCACTTTCTGGGCCTCTCTACAGCCTTCGTTGCCACCCACCCAGCCTACAATGTAGCTGGGATGACAGACCTGGGACAGTACTTATTCAGTGTTCCCTAATTGTATGAGGGGAATTTCCTGCTTGGGGAAATACTATTTAAAGTATGGAATGCCCTCAAATGAAGACTGTACTTACTTACCATTGGAGGGTAGATTCACAATTAAGAAACGTGGCTATCATCATAACCAGGAAAAAATGGGGTAAACAAGTTATACTGTAGGGCCTCTTCCTGTCCCTCCAGTTCCAACAAAGGTGACCATACAGTCCTTGGTCTAAGCAACCAGCTTAGGGACAAGGCAATTTTAAATTATATTCCATGCAGACTCCAGAGATGACAATAGGAATTCAAGGCTTTGGAAACACTGGGTAAACCAAATTAATGTTTTGGGATCAGATAATTTAAGGAAAACTGTGCACCAACTCTCTGCAATGTTGTTAGGCAAACTGGAATTCCTTTTAGCTTAATGTAGAGTTCATTCATTTTGAAATTACAGATTTCAACTCCTCCACTCCCCAAACAATGATACTTTTACAAATATTAGTGAGTTTCCCAATTCTCTCCATCACTTTTGCTGCAGGTAATGATCTACTTAGTAATTTTTAAGTATTATAATCTCTTTACTTAAAGCAAAAAAAAAAAAAAATCAAATCACAAAATTATATTATAGCATGGATTTATTTGCCTTCCCAGTAGACCGCCACTAAATTCTGTTTAATATGAGTTAAAATCACTAGGTTTGACAGGTATGGTTTTCTCATCAAGGACTTGAAAAGCACTGTGTTCCTTCTAAAGAGCCGAGGCAGCAATAATGAGCCCAGAGCTCTGCACAGCCAAGTGTCCCTCCCTGCAACCACTAAGAGCAATAAAAAGCCGAGATCCTACCTCGATGATTGGTGAGATCCCTGGAAGCAGAAGGCAGGGGTGTATAGTGGTGCACTGGAGAGGCCGTGATGCGGTCACTGGAAGCCTGTGTAATAAAAGAAAATGTCAACATGAAGTAACACCAAACACTAAATACCTTCATTTACCAAACATGCCTCCTAGGGATCTGGGCCTGGAAGAAATATTATCAACCAAGAGTCTTAGGAAGCGAGGGTTGTCTGTGCTGAGATAATGTTCTGGTGAGTGTAGAGTAGCATACAAAGCTTTGAGGAGCCTCGGTATAGGCTGTTTATTTCCTGAACTGAAAGGAGGAGGAAGAAGAAGGGAGAGAGGGTGAAGGCCAGAAATGATAGAGAGTTAGATTTCTGTCACAGGCCTTCTTCCAGTACTTCCCACAGATTAAATGTTCACTATGAGATTTCTCTGGAAACCAGTGAGGACGCTGAGCTTTGCCCCAGGATGGATGGGGAAAAACGGGGCTGGTTTGTGTGGGCCCTGTGGCATTGAGACACACAGAAGCTGAGGGCTCAGCAGCAGGAAGTGACCGTACTGAAGGATATAAACCATTGCACACTTTGCAGTTGGGGTTCTGGCTAAGTTTAACAATAACACTGAAAAACTCATCTGAAATTTGGGATATAATGGTCATCAATGAAATTTTGCCATTCCAAGACCTAAAAGAAAATGATATGAAATGTATCTTGAAGATGAATTTTTATTGTACACAAACAGCTCTTTAACCATCAAACTGTATATAGTGTGACCCGTATGTGTAAGTGGTGCTATCTTTCTTTCTCTCTAGCTCTACAACCATGGGGATGAGGCCAGGAACAGAGGACTACAGCTGTTGGGTCAGCTGTCCCTCAGAACCAATGACCGGTCTGTCACATTCAGAGGGTGGCTGCTTATAGCAAAAAGCATCACCACTGCAATTCTTACTGAGACTTCTGAATCAAATACTACTTTTTTTTTTTAATATCCCAAAAAGAACATCTGCTAGGATCAAAATCCTAAGCTTACAACCTTTCCAAGCTTCAAGAAAAAGTAAATTTCATTAATGCTACATTTTTCTTTCTGGAATAGGAAATACATTCTATGGGATATATTTGCCCTGCTAGGAGCAGGCCTTTTCTCCAAAGAGATTATCTACATTATAGGAATCAAAACTAAGTAGGAGATTAGACCCACTTACTAGAAAAACCCTTTAAACACCGCTTCTGACATTTGAGATGTTTGATTAAGCGGCTTTCAGTGGAGACTTACAGAAAGAGTTCTGAATGGGGCAGAATCAGAAGCTCTGTCCCTAAGGTAGAGACAGATTTCAGGTAGCATTACTTCACTCCAGCTCCAAGGGAAATATGTGGTGTTTAAAGCTTGATCCAAGGGTATTGGGTCCAGAAAGATAAAAGTTCAGTCACTAAGAAAAATGTTTTAAAAAGTAGACAAGATTTGCTAGATACTACATCATTAGATATTTAGGATACTGCAAGAACACAAAAGAGTCAGAAATTAGATTAAATTTCAAATACCAGAGTCACCACATGTCCCTCCATTTGGCAGTCAGGGTCTCCTGTAATCCCCACATGATAAATGAGACACAGTGACAGTGTTCTAAATATGGCACCTATTCGATGCTTAAGGCAGCATGTATGGGGCAAAGTAATAGGGGCCATCCTTCCATTGATCTACCATACTTCCTTAGTAAAAGGCCATAGCTTCTCTGTCAATGTTTCTATTCCATCTCAATGCTAAAAAGGCCTACAATTCCAGTATGAGTTTTAGGTTTCTATATTGTGATATTTCTTACTGCATTTAATCTCAATTTGGGCTGTTGACAATTTGATGACAGCTTTTCCTAAAATTACTGGAAGAAACTACCTTTCAGCAAATACCTCTGACTGGGCAAAACATTAGAGCTTTATAACCAAGAGTAAAATAGCTATTTACCTTTATTTCCAGGTGTAGTCAAAGCAAAACTGGTATGGCTCGAGTTCTATTTTGCAGTCATCGAACTATGCCTAACGTCTAATTACTTTTCTGCTCAGTGTCCATTTATAAACTCGAGTCATGAAAACAAATCCAGGAAAAGAACAATTTTGCAAATGGTGCCTTTCAGTGGAACATCTATGGCTGGATGTTTAGGGAAACTACTACAAATTAAGATTCTAACTACCAGTTCTTTGACTTGGCTCTTATCAAAATGAAGTCCATGTGATCTTTTCAATTTGTTCTCTGAATATTATGCTTGCAGGCACAATTAAGAAAAGCATGATTATCATATGGAACAACTGGACAAGACAATGTCTTCAACTTGCACACTACCTGCCCCCGAATAAAGCACTTCCTTGGAGCTCCAATGGCGCAATCGGTTAGCAGTGATACTTATACAACAGTGCGGGTGCAGCAAAATAAAGAACTTCTCCTGAAACTGAAGCAACATACCCACAGTGTATTGAGTATGAGATGGTAGAAATGTAAGTGGAAAAACTTAAATAATGTTTCCTTTTACCTGAATTAAGAAGATATTCCCTAAAATGGGAATAGGGAAATTTGGGTAAATCTGAATCTTCAGAACCACAAATCTTCTCAGATCTTTGAGTCCTTGCCAAATTTCCTAACTACCTATGGCAGAGAATTGTACTTTTACATTTTACTTTTGAAATCACTCCTGTCCCAGGGTGCCTCGGTGGCTCAGTCAGTTAAGCATCTGCCTTTGGCTCAGGTCATGATCCCAGGGTCCTGGGCTCCAGTCCCGCATCAGGCTCCCTGCTCAGCTGGGAGCCTGCTTCTCCCTCTCCCTCTCCCCCCGCCCCCACTTGTGATCTCTCTCTATCTCTGTCAAATAAATAAATAAAATCTTTAAAAAAAAAAGATATCACTCCTGTCCGAAGATATTTGTAACATCTACAATAAAATATTAGCATCCAGAATACATATGTCCCTAAATAATTAAAAATACAAGAGAAAGGGCGCCTGGGTGGCTCAGTTGGTTAAGCGACTGCCTTCGGCTCAGGTCATGATCCTGGAGTCCCGGGATCGAGTCCCGCATCGGGCTCCCTGCTCGGCAGGGAGTCTGCCTCTCTCTCTGACCCTCCTCCCTCTCATGCTCTCTATCTCATTCTCTCTCTCAAATAAATAAATAAAATCTTAAAAAAAAATACAATAGAAAAATGGACAATGGAAACATCAGGCAATTCAAAGGAGAGAAAACCTGAGTGGTCAATGAATGAAAGAGAAGATGGTCAAATTCACTAGTCTGAAGAGCAATGCATATTAAAACAAGACAAAATTTTTCCACTCGCCATATTGGCAAACTTTCAAGTCTTACAACAAGTGCCAAGGAGATTAAAGGGAAAGAACTTTTATCCTCTCATCCCTTGCCATTGGGAATGGACCCTGGTTCAATTACTTTGGAGAGTAATTTAGCAATATCTAGTAAAATTGAAAATTAGTACAGCAACTCCATTTCAAATGTATACACTACGGAAAATTTCACTCAGGTCTATAAAGTGGAACATAAAACAGTGTTTATTGCATGATTATTTAGAACAGAACAAATTGGAAGTAGTTCAAATGCCTGTCAATGAGGAAAATGGATAAATAAAATTTGTATATTCATATGACAGAATAATATTTAGCATTTAAGAGTAATAAACCTGATCTAGGTATCTCAACTTGAATAGGTCTAAAATTTTAACACAGTGAAAATACAAGTTGCAAAATGATAAATATGGTATATTTATATATATGTAGTTCTTTGACATCATGTTTGTATGGAAACATCTACAAATTATACAAGTTAAACACTAAATTCATGGAAATGGTTTTCTCTGCCAGAAGGCAGAGTAATAGGACTGGGGTTAACAGAGTGGGAGGAGCTTCGATTATATGTATATAAGATTTATTTATTTTATTTAAAGACAAGGCTTAGAAACAAATATATCAAAATATTAGAAAATATAAATTCTGTCCCTTGCCAGTGGCAAAGTAATTACATGTGTTCATTATGTTTCAACTTTTCTACATTTTTTAAATTTCTCAAAATTAAACAAAAAAATTGAAAAAAAAAACAAAACAACAAGGTTTCTGTGTCCTCTCTGATCCATACCATCCTATATTGATATGAACCCATAATGAGAGGAAATTTCTTCTAACAGCTTCCCAATACTCGCACAACATGGATTAAGGCCATTGATGGTTGGCTTTTTTGCAATGAAATATCCCATTTCTGTTTTTTCTAAAGCTGCCAAGTGTGACAATAGATTGGAAGAAGCTGTTAAATAATAGTAAATATGTACCCACTTCACACCAAGGCTTGAAATGATCATGCCAGCCTGGTAAGTCCTTGTGCCTAAGATTTGTCAAAGCATACTGAAGGTTTCTATCCTCTTTCCCTACTCACAATTGGAGAGCTGCTGCTAATTTTTTAAACTCACATCAATAATGATAATAGTCACTAATATACCGTACACTGCAATTTCCATTAATGCAGGAAGGAAGGAGAACCTTGGCAATCTCATTGGAAAAGAGTCAATGGGAGTATAGCACACTCCGTAAGAGACTTGCAAAGTGAGAATTTCACTCAGTGGTTGCAGAAAACAAATGTCTTCAGATGAGTATGTAAAATTCAAGTCCCTTCCCATTGGGTGCATTCCATGGAAACCTGCATTCCAATGGATATTTCTGAACATCATGGATGCCCTGAAGGAATATGATACAGACCACAGGAGGAGCGATTTGGCAGGCTTCAAAACAAGAAGGGACAAAGTTGTTTAATAGCCATAAATCTCCTACTATTTTTCACAAAATACCATCTAAGACCACATCTCTACAACTCATTCCCCATTACTCAGCTCAAGTGGAGTGCTTTGGCATGCTCACTCACCCTTAAATCATACACAGTATAAAGTGATCCTGGGTCTGGGAAATTTGTCAGCCTCCTTCAAGTAAAAGCAATCTTCACTTTTCATCACAATTCATTCCCTGAAACTGTGGTATAAAGCTGACTCTTCTAAAAACATTTATTTTCTTTTATAAGAAAAAGCATCACTCAGTTAGTTATCAAGTATTTAATAACCACCTACT